AATCTATGTGATGAAATACGTAAACGATTGCACTGCTGGTGCTGGAAAATTGTTTTCAATAATGAATATAATTAAATTTTCTAAGAGAAATCGTCTTAGTGTGTTATCATTGGAAAATCAATTTTATTTAAAATTTAATGGCCTTATTCATAAAAAATGAAGTAGGTTTAAAGAGCTTAATAAATCGACGTTTTCATAAATTTTTCAATTTATAAACCTTTTATAAAGCTACTTTATTTTTTATGAATAAAGCCATAAATTTATTGACGGAAAGTTCGTGCCCAAAAATATGTAAATAATAACGCATATTTTAACGTTTTTCTTATAATTATATATGTATTCTGTACGTGTTTGAACTAAGTAGATACTATAAAATAATGTTTGTACAAATATATGGAGACTTAACGTTTATAAACATTATTAGTCAGTTTTCATGCTATGTTTTTTTTAAATAATGGACTTCTGTACTTATGCAATAATGCTTCATTTTGTTTCAATAATTAGTATTTTTCATATAATTGGTTATTGTTTGTGATGAATAATAATTGGACGCACAATAACATGTGTTAATGTTTACAAAAATTCTACCATGCTTTTTTAGAGATTAGCCACAGTTTTTATTAACAATCTACCTATCATTTGGTCTCTGAAGTGACAACACTGGTTGCGCTTGCGCTTTTCTTAAATTCCAGAATCGTGCGCGCACAACGTCCTCGTTTCAACTGAAGTAATCGACTGAATGGCCGAGTCGTTCGCTCTCAGCAAAAGACACTAACACATATTCAAAATATGATAGTGTTAGTGTGCCCATCACTAATCTAGACGCCAAGTGTTTTCATTTGAAATCTCACATTTTGTAATTCAACGCAAGGATCTTATAAGTTCTTAGGCTTAAGCACTAAAGATAATACTCCTATCGATACAGAATATATAAAACAAAATCTTATCCAAATCCGTTCAGTAGTTTTCGAGATAAGCGTGGTCAAAAATGTTGCCTTTGCTTTATACTACGTAACGATAAGATAGCAATTTTAAATAGGTGGCAACCCTACTTAAAAAATACAATTTTTTACATGCGAAGGTCCCGCCCTTTCTTTTGGTGTCTCACTTTGTTATCAAACGAACAGTGATGATCTATAACTTTTCAAAGGTGGCAACACTACTCAAAAAAAAAAATGTTTCATACCAAGAGGCTAAGTATTTTCGTTTGACGGTGACGGTGCAGAACTGACACCTTCGCTTACTAAGATGGAATAAAGTAATTTAACAGGTGGCAACCCTACTCAAAAATAAAAATTTGTGCTTATTTTGAGGCCAATTCCTTTCATTTGACACCTCATTTTTTGTAATCCGACGAACAGTGAAGATCTTATATTTTTTAAACAGGTGGCAACCCTGCTCATCAAAATATTACATTATTGCCTACATATCTCGAGGCTACGCTTTTTTATTTGACAGTGACGGTGCAGAACTGGTGCCTACGCTTATTAGAATTGAATATAGTAATTTTCTTAACAGGTGGCAACCCAATTCAATAAATAAGACATTGGTGCTTTTCTAGAGATCAATCGCTTTCATTTGACACCTCACATTTTGTAATCCAACGAACGGTGTGGATCTTATTGTTTTTTAGACAGTTGGCAACCCTATTAAAATTCTCAGTAAAAAAAGCTCACTCTCCTATCGATACAGAGTGTACTAGAGAAAATCTTGTCAAAATACGTTCAGTTGTTTTCGAGATTACCGCGTACAAAAAATCTCGACTTTCCTTTATACTATGTATAGATTATATCCACCTTTTATATCTAAATAACGATATTTTGGCATGAATGGATAGGCAAATCTCATTTTTGGCACAGATGCCAGTTACGTAGTTTAGCAGAACCGCGATCTGCGAATTTTCATTTTAAACCGCCAAACACTGTGTGATGGCTAATAGTGCGCTATGATCAATTAACCAACTTTAGAATGACCTCACCTGACGCCAACAATGACGGCTGAGTGCAATTAATCTACAAGTCACACTGCCATAAATGGCAATTTCACGGCGAGATAAATACAATGGACACACAAATAGTACAGAGATAAATGCGTCAAATCCATACAGATATGAATGTCAATTCGTTGGTACGCTGGCTGCGAATATTTAACCTCAACTAATTCCATTAAGCACGTTATGTACAAATGTAAATATTTCCTTTAATATATGTATATATATGTGTGAATAAGTACCCTACAAAAAATGCGACTAATCCGGGATGACTTCGGGGCAATCGCAAAGGAACATCCGACTAATACCATTTTTGATCATGCCATATGGAATGAACCCTTCGCTTTTGTTCGTGCATGCCCTATGAAGAGAGGGAAGAATCTTTATATCCGAACGGTTATAAAAATCTACTACTTGCTAAACAAATTTGTACCACACTCTAAAACCAGTTTCCTCTCTTAATGAATGCAAATTTACACACCGTTTTAATTAAATTAAACACTGCTTGCTTACTTTTACTTATCATATATGTGGCGTAGAACAAATTTCAAATTCGTTTTTTGAGTTTTAAACATTTATTGTTCACTTTTTCACAGTTTACACATAAAACGTTTAAAACTTCCTCTAAAAAGATTTCGTTTAAATTTACGCATATAAAGAGAGGTGACCAGTTTCCTCTCCTAGTGTGTGCAAAATTAAACACTGTCTGTTTACTTTTACATATCAAATATGTCACGTAGCGCACACAAGGTGTGGGTTTTGGAGTTAAATTTATTGTGATTTAAGAAATTTTGATAGAAAAAAATTTTTTTTCCATTTCTTGCGCGTCATTTTGTAAGAATTTTTCTTTTTTCTTGAGAGTTCTTTAAAGTTTAACTGCGAATGAAAACATTGTCCTAAAAATATGCACTTTACAGCCTAAAAAAGTTTACCACTGATATGTACTTAATAAGCATTCGAAGATTTAATTTTCTCAACTTCGAAAAATACAAGTTCAGTTAAATTTTCGTTATTCGAAGTATTAAAAAATGAGAAACCAGAAATCAACGTAAATGAATAAAAAAGTCTAAAAATTTCGTGAAATTATTTAATTTATTTATATTAAAATTCTTTTGTAACATTTTGTAACACATTTGAAAGTTGAGTGCATCTTTAACCGTTAATTTTTTCAGGATTTAATGATCGGACCTAAACCCAATTACGGGACGACCCTTAAGGTACCATCTTTCCGGTAAAAAAAGAATCATTGGAATCGGTTCACGCGGTGCAAAGTTATGCGGTGGAATAAATAAAAGAAGTAAAAATACTCCGAAGAATTAATAACCTCCCCTTTTTTGAAGACGGTTGAAAATGTCTGAGTTCTTTGTAAATTTTATGTAAATAAAATGCAATTTATGAAAAAAATATATTCTCGCTTTCAAAATGTTTGTAATTTTAAACATTTTATGTGTATATTTTAAACAACTCATGTTCAAAATCAAATCTTGAACATCTTGTGCGTATACTTGAACAGATTCTGGTTGAAAAATAAACACTTTTCAGTAGTAGTTTTACATGCACTTTTAAGAGTGCAGCTGTTGTCCGAACCGGAGTTCTAAGCGAGTACTTTGTCTGCAAGCCAACGACGCACGTGAGATTTCGTTTACTAAGCGCATACATATCATTAAATCCTCAACTGTACCCGTTAGTGATGAATACGGAACTAATTCATTACCAATTATACCTACCTGGACATAGTTTCCAATTGTTCCCGATTGAGTTAATCTCGGAATACTTTCTTTTTCTACAATTTTTTGCAGGATAGTAATAAAGTACGTGCAAGTTCTATTTGCATGTACATATTTATATATCAGGGGTGGGCAAGGCGGATGCGGAAAAGAGCTACATGTAAATTCTAAATGCTGCAAGAGCCACAAAAAAACAACAAAAACACAAATCTTATTTTTAAATAAAAATATTATTAGAAATGAAAAACATTAATTCTATTATTATTCTAACGTACGTAAGATTGATATTAAAGAAAATTCAAAAGATCCCTTCGGCCAAATCTTCAATATCTGGTTTTACGTCAATTAAAGCTGTTCAAGAGAAAAATATCCAAAATAGTACGCGAACAGAAAATTTGCAGAAACTTGCAAGACAGACGAAGAGCTGATAGAAATACTGTTTAATTCTTAAGTATAAATTGAATATGTTAGAAAACAATTCCTGAAGTCTTATCCTGACACAGTTCACTGACTAAACGAATAATTACTTACTTCTTACAAGTCTAATTAGTCGCATTTTACTTTTTTAACATCCAACCATCAAATCAAGTTTAGGGATTTTGCGCAAATTCCAACCAGCTGTTTTTGATCAGCTGTTTTCTTGTTGGCAAATTGCTGTTGGCAAAAATTTTTCCATCAGAAACTAGCAGCTTTCCCTCATGATGAAATGTCATTTTCTTTTCTCAACTTTTCCTACTTTGCAAGTTGCAAGCTTTATGTTGCATTTCCAAAAACTCTTAACTCTTCTTCGCTTTTCTTAGAAAGGAGTATTTCGGATATTGTAAATTCATCCTCAGTTATGTTACTTAACAAAGGGTTTATGAAGTATGCACACTGAGCTAGAGCTGCCAAACTATCGATAGTCAAGTCCA